TCAGGATGAAGAAGAAGAGCAAGACGACGATACTGTTTCTTGATAAGCTCTGAATCTTCAGTACGGCCTTGGATTTGAAGAATAGAGTACCAATCATGGTGATTGTTGATTCGTTTTACAGAAGCTAAAAGAACTTCAGCAATTGCTAAGATCTGGTCAGGTCCTTCAAGTAAAGGCTCAGTTTCTTGAGCAAGAAGGGCAAAATCTTTACAAGGGGCAAATTCTTTTTCTCTTAAGAGCTTTTCTGCAACTCCTAACAGTCTCTCTGCTTCTGCTCTGCTTGTAGTTGTATGATGTTCCATTTTTTGGTGGATTTTTGGGGATTTTGGGGCTTTGGGGTTTTGATCTGAAATGGAGACGGAGAAAATGATGGATGATTTGGGGAAGGGGAGGAGAAATTTGCCGGGGTGGGGGGGAGTGGGGTGTAACTGTAGAGTGTAAAAAGATTGTCTTTTTAAGACCAAATGATATTTGTTTATAATGTTTATCTACATTGTAATAAATAGAGGTTTGATTGTTGTACTTTGGTTGAGGGTATTTATGTCATTTTATATTATATTTTTATCTTGCCGGATAAAAATAGTTATCTCAAATTATTTTTAACATTTCATATTATTTAGTCACATAGCTAAAAATATACTTTTTCCTTTCCTTATTACTTGTTACATTTATTTTTGAGGGTTAACAAACATAATTTTGATCGACATTTTAAAAGGATGAACAATTTTCACATATAGCAAACACAAAAATTATATTTGTATATTATAGTTATAGTTTGCATAATTGCGCTCCATATCAAACATAAATATGTATATTTCGCTATACATATAAAAAAAATAGTTGTATATAATCTGTTTCTGTTTCGGTATACATATACAAAAGATCAATTATATAATCTGTGTTTGTATAAAGCGAGAAAGATAAAAGAGAACTGGGCAGAAAAATATTTATATTATAAAATTATAAGTGTATAAGACGAAGATATATGTATTTTGCAGGTGTATATATAATTTTCTTTCGCTTTATACAAACAGAAACACAATTTATACATTTTTGTTTGTATAAGCGAGAGAGGCGAGGGAGAGACTGGTGAGCAAGATTTGGGAGAGGGGAATGAAAATATATGTATATATACAATTTTCTTTCATTTTATACAAACACAAACGCATTTTATACATTTGCATTTGTATAAAAGCGAGAGAAACGAGGGAGAGAATGAGAGTGGCAAGCGAGATTTACCAGGAGAGAGGCGAAATAGCAACAATTTGCTATGTGGTACAATTAGATCAAACTATGTTTATAGTATTTAATTTGAATTAATAGTTTGCTATATTATATACAATTTTCCCTTTCCTTTTTTTTTTATCATATTGCTATAAAAAGTTTTTACAATTTAGAGAATTTTTTATTTAGTTTATGAATATCTAAATTTTGATTTTAAAATATTGAATTAATGTAATCTAATTTAGGTTTGGAAGTTAGTCAAATTGACTATTGAAAAGCGTAACATCGCAACTAAAAAAGAAACAGAGGGGGTATGTTTTAAATCAAGATAAATTAACTACATCAATTTAAAATTGAATTATTTGAGAGTAAATATTGTAAAGTTCTTTTATTGTTGATTTTGATATTGATGAATAATGTATATAATAAGAAAAAGAATTAAAGAGTGAAATTAGTAAAAATATATTTATTAATTATGATTTATTAAGGGCAAAAAAGAGAGAGGACAAGAATATAGAAGGGGGTATTTGTTATTTTAATTAAAAATATCTAATTGAAACACTATATTAAAAGTTGAGGTATTCAATTAAACACGAATTACTTTAAGAGTAAATATAATACCCTAATAAATTTAAAGAATTGTCTATATATCCTAATGCATGCATCTTTAGTTGTTCATCCAAAATAGTTTTTGAGTTTTATTCATGAATTAAAATTGATTAAGGAAAAGGAAGGTATGTTTAATAGATAAAATCACAAGAAATGATGATTGTATTGCAAATTGAAATTTCAAGAGATATTTGTGCAGTTAATTATCACTAGAAATAATTATTGTACCTTATTAGAAGAATAATCTGGAACTAACATCTTAAAATTTTGAATGCAAAAATTAAAGCATATTTATACCACTTTATTGCAAATGAAAAATAATAGGAAAGATACAGTGTCTGCTTATAACATCCATGCATCTACCCATTAATTCAATTTTAGTAATTTGTCAATTTCTCAGCTAAATTCATGAATTAACTTTGTCTAGTTATTCTCCCCTCTCCATGATTATTTTCGTCAAAAATATCATTTTTGTTACCTATTTAAGGAAAAAAAAATAATTTGAATTGATATAAATACAACAACATTAGAAGAGGGAGAAAAAAGAACAACGAAATCTTTTGGGGATTTGGATTACCCGTCCATAGCAGCGATGAAAATTATACATAACTAGTCATGATATTTCGTCACAAATTCTGACAGGTCACCAAAATTCGTGACATGACTAATTTGGATCCAACACTAATATCGACAAATTGCCAGAATTTGTGACGCAATAAGTTTTTCTCATCGATCAAAATCGTGACGATACATAGCTCTACTACAAATTTCGAATCACATAACTAATTTTGCATAACTTTTTAAAATGATATCGAAATTTAAACGATGACACTAAAAGATTCTATTTGTGCAAATCATCCGATTTATATTAGTAAGGCCCATTCCGGGAATCGATCCTATTGGGCTAATGAGGCCCAACCCAATATTAAACAGTCAAAGAAATAGGCCTTATCACAATAAAGATTTTTAAAGGCCCAACATAAGCCCAATCATAAGAGGTGCTGAACATTGAAGGCCCAATATTTAGCCCAATCATTAGAAATCGAAAGAAGCTTGCAATTTATCGGAAAAAATCACTTTTCTTTAATTAATAAGAATTTGTTTTTGAAATTATCCCTTTATTCTTAATGAAATGATTTATAATCAGATATATAATTATTGATTTGTTTTCGATCATAAATCTCTCTTCTTCTTTTTTCTCTTAAACTTTATGATCAAATGATGTTACATAAATTAAGACGTGAGTAATTATGGGCTAAATCTAGTAAGACATAATTGCATATTTCATGCCTGGAAATAATGTCAAAAGCAGAGGTGTATCCATGATTTTGAGATGATGGGTGCACTATTATAAAAAGGTTAATTTATGATATAAATTTGATCGGTTCGACATTTAAGTTTTTACTACTAAAAACCGTTAAATTTTTAAAATTACAGGTCTAAAATTAATTATGATATATATATATATATAATTAAAATGTCAAAAGGGCTACCAATTACTACTTAAAGAAGTGTTATTTAATTTTAGAAAGAAAAATAAAACAAGATAAATATAAAATTCAAATTTCTAACCTCGCGGATAGAGGTGCACTCAGTCATAATTGCATTATGTGATACTCCAAGTGTGAATTCACACATCTATATTTTAATATATTTTTTAAATATAACACTATTATATATAATTTTGGGAGAAAACCATGGATTCACGTAAACCCGGTGACCTCCTTTAGATAATCCTCTGGTCAAAAGGTCCTTTTATCAAATAAAATCTAAGTTCTATGTATTTAATCACTTTTAAAGACATGTACTTGATGTTTTTTGTCCACATATATAATTGTAGTTTAATTTGAATATGATAAGGCCACGTGTTCATGCAAATTATAAAAGGCTAGGATTATTTCCTCCACTTTGATTTCTTCCATTATTAACTATATGCAAAGAAAAAAAAAAACTTTTTATGACATTAATTATTAAAAATACTCCAAAAAATCTTAGTAGCTTAGTTGGTCTGTATTTTCCCTTCACCTACCCCAATATTTTTTTTAAAAATAAAAATAAAAATATTACTAAAATACTCCTACTAGACTGAAGACCCAAACAATACTCCATTCAAGTTTCTAATACTTATTATGTTTGACTTTTTTCCACCAATAGTTTGGATTTATTAAGAGACCAATCAACCTATGAAGGGATAAACTTATATATTTTTCATAGACTAAAGAAACCAAAACTTTGGATTTCTTTTTTTGTTTTGGAATCTTCTGGGAAATTAGTGTGAGCTCAATTGAGAAGACGTTAATTAGTAGAGGGAATTGATTCGTGATATTTTTGGTTAGATTCCTTCTATTGCACTAACTCAGATATCTTTAAAATTTCAACTTGAAATATTGCTTTTCGAAGGGTTTAAGATTTAAAAGTATGCCCAAAATCACCAAACACCTATTAATAGTAATTGTTTTTTTAGTTTTCCAACTAGTGTCCAGTATACACATCAAAGTCTAACTAATCCGACAAATCACTTAGCGGCCCTTTCATCTTTGGCGTCAGAATGCTCGATCAATGAGCTATTACACACTATTTTGCATATAGGCAAACCTCTTGGTTGTCTCTTCAATCATAATAACATTCGCAAATAATATTCTACTCCCTCTGTCCCAATGACTCACTTTTTTTTTAGTCAATTTTAAAAAGAATGAAACATTTCTATATTAAGTAACAATTTAACTTTAAAATGTTCATTTTACCCTTGATGAAATGATTTATAGTCACACAAGTTTCTATCATTCATTTTAGATCACAAGTTTTAAAAGTCTTTCTTTACTTTTAAATTATGTGCAGAGTCAAACTGTGTACCTCACATAAAATGAGATGGAGGGAGTAACATATTAGAGTAGAATCGAACATGGAAATAATTGATTAATAACACTAAAAATGGGCACCTAATTCTAAGGAAACACTTCCTACCACAAATTTTTCTATACTGAAAATTCAAATTTGAGACTTTTTATTAAGGAAAAAAATAACTTCATCAACTGCATCATATTGTTTTACGATGCTACTAATAGTAGTTACTATAAGTAATCCTGACAAGTGTCAAGTTGAGCAAATGTGGCACATGAGAGGTTAAAACATCCCCTTTTTACCATAAAAAGTAAAGCTGCACATTCCATTTTTTGATGTAACAATAGCATCCAACCACTCCCTCTCTCTCTCTCTCTCTAGGTTTCAATTGGTGGAGCTCTCCAATAATATCTTCCAACATAAAATTTAAAAAATTCCTCATTTTTTTTTTCTCTTCAATTCCAAGAACAACAAGTGAATAGTGCTTATTCCATCTCCAAAATTAGGTCTACACATTTATATACTCAATTATTGGTCCATTTTTATAGGGTTTTCTAACTAGATCTGAGGTTTTCCTCTTTAATTAGGGTTTCTTATAATTTCTTACTATTTATATTTTTTTTGTGATAGTTTGTAAGATTTCTTGAAGGTCTGAAGAAAGATAATAGTTATCATCTAATAACACGGCTTCTCAACAGGTAAAAATAAGATCTACGTACATTCTACTCTTTTCAGATTCTACTTATGAAATTATACTGTTATGATTGTAAATATAGTGAATTTTGGTGATATATAAACTAATTATAGTGTATGATTTTTTTAAAATTTATTTTTGAAGGATGGCAAGGGAGAAGATAAAAATAAAGAAGATAGATAATATAACAGCAAGACAAGTGACATTTTCAAAGAGGAGAAGAGGGCTTTTTAAGAAAGCTGAAGAGCTTTCTGTTCTTTGTGATGCTGATGTTGCTCTTATCATTTTCTCTGCTACTGGGAAGCTATTTGATTTTGCTAGCACCAGGTAAAATCTCGAGATAAAATGAAGGATTATTTTATGCGTGTTTAGTTACGAGTCTTTAAGTAGTTTTACGATTATTATCCTATCATTAATACCATGGGCTTGTTTGATTGGGGAATACGTTATTATACGATTGTTATTCCACTATCAATGTGGAATAAAAATAATTTTATAATCTCGAGATTAGTTATCTCTTATAACGAACTTTAGAATATGAGATTAGCTAAAATATAATCAAATATTTGGGTTGGTAGGATGTTTCGAAGGAGCTAGGGGGGTGTAAGCTATAAGGTGTTTATTTGTGTGGTGGCCTAATTTATTTGTGTTACTTTCTTCTTTTTTTTAAATCTATTTTTATATTTTGTAATCTTTTGGTCTAACAAAATAAATACCGTTTTAGCCAAAAGAAAAAAATATAGTCCAAAAAAGAATTATCGTTTTAAGAATTTAAGACAATAATTAGGAAGTAATTGTTTTCAACTATACCTTTATATATTAAAGAACCACTAACTTGTTCTGAACAGTGATTAATTTTAAAACATCTAATTATAAATTTATATACTGGTAACTAACTCAATATATAATATGTAGTGTTTATTGTTTTTCATAATGAATGTGAAAATGGCTAAAACGACAGATGCACAGACTAATTCTTACATTCAATATTCTACGTGATACATTAAACACAAACCTTTAGCTTAAGATCACATGATTTAAAAATAATATGAACTTCGTTTCAACTCAACAAATTGAAAAGAGTATATAATATCAAGATTATTGTTCATGTATATATCTAACATACTTTGGATTCCTTTACTTCTTCATATGTTAAAACTCTCTCATATTTGGATTTTTTTTTAGTGAAACAGTTAGCTCCATCACTAATAAGATCATACATTATCTATACCTCGTGAATTAAGAGTGCACACTTTACAATAATAGCATAATATTCAATCGAGTTTGAGAATGATAGAATATATACAAATTTTACCTTTATTTTTGTAAGATAGAAAAATTATTTTCGATCGGGATAAAGATTTGTTTGATTTGTTGTGACAAGAGGAGCAAAGAAGGGTATTTCTACCATGGCAAAGACAAAACAAACTGTAGTTTCATAGGGTTTCTTCAAACAAGAAAACCTCGTGTCTTTACCCCTTTTTGTTATTTATGTCCTAAAAAACAGTGAATTAATTAGAAACCCTAGGAAATTTACTTCTGTTTTTGATCATCTAAATACTTCTTTATTACGTAAAATATACTCTTCGTTCATTTTTATTTGTCCATTTTGAATTTTATACTTGAGTATTTTATTACAATATTCATATTAATTGATGTACAATTTTAAATTTTGAAAAAATGATTTGTGGAATAAGTCTGTCTCATTTTATGTGTCAATGTTTAATTTGATCTAATGTTTAAGAGAAAAAGACTTTTTTTTAAAAAAAATTTGTAATCCAAGACATTGTTAGATGTATATAATTTCATAAAAAAGGAATTTTAAAGTTAAATTATTTTTAATTATAGTAAAGTTATATTCTTTTTTGGGACGAATTGAAAATGAAAGGGTACTACATAAAATAAGAGTATTTTAGTTGTCATATTTCGCTTTTTGATAGTCAAATTATGTCAACTTTGATCTACACCAACTTTTAAAATTTCAAATGAAGTGATTTTTAAAAAAAAAATAATAATGGGCAAATGCCTACTAAGTTAATTATACTATTTTTATAAAACTAAATTATTTTTTTTAAAAAAAATTGATAAAGAAAGTGAATTTTGTAAATAATCAAGTGGTTTACTCCGACAACATTTAAATTTAGTGTCAGTAATCCTTGTTTAGTCAAATCATTCAATTTCAACAGTCATTTATTTACTGGCTAAGACAAGATATGTCAATTACTACTAGTACAAATATGTCTTTTGGAAAATGGGAGGGCAAGAATAAAAGGATTTTGCAGCTACAATACTTAATACGTAACTTATTTCCCAATTAGGAACTTACTAATGATATGACAAATACTTACCCAATTAGATATTTATATCAAATCAATTTATTTATTATAATTAAATAATTTAATAGATATAAATATATGTATTAAGTAACAAAGTTTGTGCCAGAGTGATAATAGGTATATCCTCATTCTCAATCAGAAATTTCGAATTCGAGAACCCTTGTTATGAAGTTGCTAGTTAGAGAGCGATTTATCTCAAATTTTCCGATGCGAATTCAGATAATTCTTATCTCATAAGTTAGTTTTTTTTTTTTTTTTGAAGTTGAGTTGGAATCGATTTCATTTTTTAATCATGTCATCAAAACTAGACCTATCCAAATTTATAATTTATTCGAGACATTAGACTTTTGCCTTAGATTGTGCACACTCTAGACGTTCAATTTTAGAGGTGTTTAGTTGGTGGGTATAGATAATACTAGCGTTTGAGATCAAGTTAGGTTCAAAATTATTTATATATATTGATTAAGACTTGAATTAATTAGCAGAATATTAATTTTCTTGTTTATAAATGCAGCATGAAGGATATTCTTGGAAAGTATAAGTTGCAGTCAGCTAGCCTTGAGAAAGTTGACCAACCTTCCCTTGATTTACAGGTAGTAATTATATATACTTTATACTAAATTAATAAGTAAAAAAATAAGAGCATTGTTTTATTATGCTCATAAACATATTTTATGAGTAACCTATGGTTATTTAAATTAGTGAAGTTTATTATCATAATTAGCTAAAGTGAAAATACATATCTCTTGCTCCATCTTTCTTAAATTATTTATCGTGAAATAGTTCTAAAATTGATATTTCAAATTATTTGCCATTTAGAAAGTTTAAGATAAAGTTGATTATTTTTTTCATTTTAACGTTAATAGTATATATTTGTTTGAAGATTACAAATACTCCAATGATATATTCAGTGAAAAGAGATTATATCTTGAGACATAAATGAGAGTATATTCAATAAATGTATACATGAAAGAGAAATAACGACATATAAATTGAGGCAGAAAAAGTATAAACTATAATCTAGTGACAAATGTATATGTAAATAAATATACTTATTTTTGTATTTATTAGTTTGATGTAAACACTCAAAACTTAGTCAAGTTTCTACAAAATTTTAAGTAGGCTATAATTACATCTACTTGATTAATTAAGTATATATATATATATATAGTATATTAATTTATTAACCTTTTTATTGCTTATATATCATCATTTTATAGCTAGAGAATAGCCTCAACATGAGATTAAGCAAGCAGGTAGCCGATAAAACTCGTGAGCTCAGGTACCTATATATAATTCTTTTTCTTAATAATTGTGTCAAGCGTTAATTTGCACGCACCTCAACTTTTACAATCATCGAATAATTTTGCTTATATATATACTACCTAGAAATTTTTGCTTAGATTTGAACGTTGTCGATCTTTGATCTTCAAGTGATTTTTATCTTACTTCATTAGCCGCTAAATTACACATCCGCCTCAACTTTCATGAATCGGTATTATTGGGCAACTCTTTCTATCGAAACTTGAGTATCAATTTTTGTCATTGCTTAGATTTAAAAGTGGTTGATATCCGATCTCTTGTAATTTTTATCTTGCTCCATTAACCGTTCAACTACATGTGCACCTCAATTTCCACTATAGTATTATTCGATAACTTTATCGATCAAAGCTTAGGAATATGAAAAATTTATTACCTAGCATACTTTTTTTTTATTGCTTAGATTTGGATGTTGTCTCTGATCTCTCATGATTTTTATCTTACTTCATTAACTGTTTAATCATATATTATACAATTGAGTAAATCTTCCTCCCAACACTAGAGAAAAAAGAAAAAAAAATCTCTCATTAATATATTCAAATTAGTCTTGATTAAATTTAAAGTAGTTGCTCATCGAGCCTCAAAATGAAAATTCAGGTCCCAACCCAACTTGTTATTAATATGAATATATTTCCTTGGCTTTATAATTGATAGCCTTTTAAATTAGTCATTAAATTTCATTTAGATATTCGAATAACGATTTGGTTTAAATAAGCACTTGATCAAGACAAATTTTTTCATATTTGACACTTTCTGTTCAAATTTTGAAATAAATTAATTAACACGTGTTCTTAAGCGTCTATTAGGTAGTTATGTTAACTACATAAAATATGTCATCTCTTTTAATTATACACATCAACCATAATTGGAACAAGCCTTTGGTTTTACAGCTATTGATGCTAAAGCATATAATTTAAAAGGACGGTATATTTTAATTGGTTAACTTATCTACGTAGCTAACACTCGAAAATACACACAATTATCCCCCTCCCCCCCCCCCCCCCCAATTTTTTTTTATACTTGTTGATATTTGTGTATGTATATGTAAATCAGGCAGATGAGAGGTGAGGAACTTGAAGGATTGAGTTTAGAAGAATTACAACAAATTGAGAAAAGACTTGAAGCTGGTTTCAACCGTGTGCTTGAGATTAAGGTTTCATAATTTTTGTTAAAAGAAATTATAATACTTTTATGCTAATTAAATAAACTTCTAATATCCCTAACTTTTTTTTTTAATCTCAGGGTACACGAATTATGGATGAAATTACCAACCTTCAAAGAAAGGTTTGTACGATACTTTTACTAAAACAGGATCAATGCCCAAAGTATCCTGCATTCATGTATGATCAAAAAAATATTGTTGCACCTCGAGAGGGTGTAATGTAGGTCACGTACCCTAACACAAGCATCAATATTATCCCATGATTCAAATTCGTGACCTATTGGTCACACTCAGACTAGGAAATCACTAATTTTCCGACAAACATCCCATTAGAATTTGACTTGTTGGTAAAGGTTTTCAATAGAAAAAGCCATAAAAAATATTACTCACAAGTCACAAGACAATTTGAAATTAGCGAGTTTTTGATAGTGAAAAAAATAACTGTTCGTTGCTCCAAAGCTTCCCTTCAGAAAACCATTCTTGACTAATCTTTTCTTTTTTGTCATTTTTTGACTCATGAAATCTTTTCAGGGTGCTGAGCTGATGGAAGAAAACAAACAATTGAAATACAAAGTAATTAAAATCCCCTTTAGAATTAATAAGCTTTTATGTACAATTTTTTTTTTTTTAGTAATTAGTGTTAATTAAATTGAGTAATTTTCATCATATTCTTATGGTGCTTATCTATATATATGTATTATTTTAATTGTGCTATTTAGATGGAAATTATGAAGAAAGGGAAGTTGCCCTTACTGACTGACATGATGATGGAAGAAGGCCAATCATCTGAGTCTATAATTACAACCAATAATCCTGATCAAGATGATTCCTCAAATGCATCTTTGAAGTTAGGGTAAGCTTGCTTACACTCTTACTTAAAGAATTTTAACTTATTAGATAATTATGTGGTGCAGTTTCAGCTCTTCGAGGACATGACCCTTAATAGGATAGTGTGGAGATTGAGAATTAGGATAGATAGTTAGTAGGTAGTTAGACGTTTTTTCTTTTCCTTTCTATGTGTATTACTCCCTCCGATCTGTTTCAGTTTGATTGTCTAGTTTTGACTTGGAATGGAGTTTAAAAAAATAAAGAAGATTTTCGAATTTAGTGGTCTTAAAATAAAGATATGTTTAACGTAACAATGCTCTTTAATTTTGTGGTCTTTACATATCATGTGGGAAGTTAGAATTAAAGAGTTGCTAAAAATGAGAATATGCTAATTTGTTTTAGACTAAATAGCAAAGTAAGACGAATAAATTGAAACAGAGAGGAGGATGTTTCTTGTTTTCATTATTTTTAGATTTCACTTTTACTACCTGTTGTTCCTTATAGCTTGGGTTACTTTATTATCTCGTTGTTTTTACTTGTTGCTACTGCTTCTATAAGTCAATTGGTCTATCGGAAACAATTTTTCTATCTTTTTAAAGTAAAGATAAAGGTCTGCATATACTCTACCTTTCTTAAACCTGACTTGTGGAATTACAATACATTTATTAGTGTTTGTATAATACTACCATCAACCTAATTTAACTTGTTATATAACATGTTTATTGATCTTATATTCTAGGTTACAAGTTCCACTAATTACTATATGGATATTTACTTATTGTTATCTTTTGTTTATGTTTTTAACAGTGGTACTACTGCAGTTGAAGATGATTGCTCAATTACATCTTTAAAGTTAGGGTAAGATTTGTTTATATCCTTCGTAGAAATGTATATATTATATACATACACCTACTCCTTTCGTCTCAATTTATACGATGTAGTTTGACTTAATTATTATAGAGTTTAAGAAAGACTTTTGAAACTTATCGTCTAAAATAAGTCATATAGATGTTTGTATGTCTATAAATTATTTCATTAGGGTAAAATAAACATTTTAAAGTTAAACTGTTATCATATTTATTGGCAATTACTAAAAAATACAAATTGAAACAGAAAATATTGCAGGCATTTTGATTTTGATTTTTTTTGGTCAGGTCCATTTTGATTACATATGTTCATTATTTATGGGGTCTACAATTAATTAAATTTGCTATTTATTGATCAGGCTACCATTCAGCTAGCAAACTCAAAGGGGGGAGATTTTGTTGAAGATTGTACTAGTAATAATTTTTGGATGAAAACAATGAGTGGCATAATATATTTGCCTCTTTTGGAAAAATATACATTGGAATATAATTGTCACTGCTTCTACTATGTATTTTATGTATGTGGATGTACAACTTGACAAAGGGCATAATGCAGATTTATTAACCATCTCATTTTGGGTCTTGTGAGGGGATTTCTATAATATAGTCTGAGTTTACGTGAACTTAATAATTTTTTATTAAAATCTGCATACATGTATGAAGAAAGATACTCATGAGATATTTATAAATATTTGACTATGAAATTAGATATTATAGTATATTATGTTGAAATTGTTGAAGAAAGTTGTAAACTTTCAAATCTTTAATCTGTATTTAATTCTTGTTTATTCGATTGAGCTTTTAGCACTAGTGCACCGGGGAGGAGCTATTGTATAAGGTACGAGTTTGGTCAAATTTAATATATGTGGTTCATAATTTTTATTTGTCTTAAGAAATTCACTTAATACGTACAAATTATTGATTTAGAATCCAATAACTTTAACAGGTTAGAATTTGAAGATAGAAACTTTAAATCTTCACTCCGATTCTACTAAAGCTATACCCATCTCAAATAACTACAAAAGTAAGCAAATTCATCCTTTTTTATTGAAGTTTAGGTTGCATATATGACTGAACTTCAGTCATTTCTACGTGAAGTTCATTATATCATAGTAAATATGTGTCTGAACTTCAACTATTTGTATATCGCATCTTAGTGTGATATTACTTATGGGAAATATAGTAATTCATAAGAAATACACATTGGCATCTTACAATAAAAAGATTTAAAATTCAAAATAGAAAAATAGTTGGTTATGAATGCAAAATAGTTACAAGTGGCTACGCCTTAAATGGACTGTAAAAATTGGCTACTCTTGTAAAATTACTTCATGAAAAGCCCAAATATTTTAGCCCAAACAGATCAGCCCATGATCACGGAACGAGTTAACTGAAAAGTATTTACAGATCGGTAAGTACGACGGCGACGGTGAGAGCACCGGCACGATGAACTACGTCCGGCAGACTCCGACGAATCGGAGAATGGCATGGCCGCTGCAAATGGGTGGACTTTTGATGCTTCTTTTACCAAGTCTGTTTCCCAGTCTCTTCTCTCCTCTTAGCCGCTCTTATCCTTCCGTTTTCTCTGTAAGTTCTCTTTCCTTCTCCATTTTCAGCCGTAACACTACCTTTTGAAGATAGAGAATCTGTTTCCGAAGATCAATCAGTTAGTATTGGAGTGAAATGTGTTGAATTTAATGAAATGAAAACAGAAAATTCATGTAGCTGATTCGGATTAATTTGGGATTGAGACGTAGTTGATTGGTTAATGCGTGTGTACTATGTTGCTCGAACTCTTCAAAAATGTCCATGGTTGCATGTTGGATACTCCAAAAGTAGTGCATTTTTTAAGGATCCGACATGGATGCAGCAATATTTTGGGAGTCCGAGCAACATAGCCTGTGTACAAATGCATTGTGGAAGACCAGACATATTTGAAAATGAATTTGTTGAGTAGCTAATACTAGCTTATGATATAGTAGAAATCATAATTTGGTTGGTTGATTCTGAGCTCTACTCTATTTAAGTTTTTCTGGTTGGTATTTTAATTGGATGTGTTGTACTAGTTGATCATTGGAACTAGAGGAGACTTGGTTTTGTAGGCCATTTTCTTAGTTTGATGTCCTTTTTACTATGGATCTTCATTTTTACATGTAAGAGATTTCCAGGTGTTCATGATTCATGTGCACCCTGACTTCTTTTGAACACTGTACCTGCTCCAAATTTTAGGAAAATCCAGTTCTTTTATTAGTTTACTCATGCAATTTGTAGGAATGGAATGCTCCAAGGCCTATGCATTCACATTTACTAAACAGGGCTTTGCAACAACAGACAGTGAGTAGAGTTGCCACTTCATTTGTTTTTAGCTATAAGATTGTTATGGAAGTTTTGGGACCATATATTCAAAATGTTTAGTAATTTAGTACCTTTCAGTCCAAAGCTCAAGAAGCAGAACTCTGGTCTCCCTTGCCTAACCAGGGATGGGAAGCCTGTGCTGATAAACAGGATACTCAATGTGAGTGTTGTACCCATGCTATTGTATCTTTCCTCTGCGTTATGAAGGGGATTCTGATTAGTATATTCTGTGTTCTAACCTTTCTTTAATTGCATATGTTCTGTAGCATTGGGTAGGAAGTCCCAGGGGTACATACAGGTGTTTTTGGATGGAGGACTGAACCAACAGAGAATGGGGGTATGTAAGTTTCAGTTATGATATTGGTTAATTTCTAGATTGTTGATGTATATTACTTTAGGGGAAGTTTAGTCTCATGAATGATTTATTTGTTGTTTACTTGCTCCCATGATAGATCTGTGATGCAGTAGCTGTTGCCAAAATTTTAAATGCAACACTTGTAATTCCGTATCTTGAAGTAAATCCAGTTTGGCAGGACTCAAGGTATTTAGTGTCAGCCATTGCAGCACCCATTCTCTACGTACTTTTAAAGTTTTATGTGAGGTGCCCTTTTCTGGATTGATACTGCTTATGTGAAGTGCTTTTCACAGTTCCTTTGCAGATATATTTGATGTTGATCACTTTATCAGTGCCTTGAGTAATGATATTTCAATAGTTAAAGAGCTTCCCAGTGACTACTCCTGGAGTACCAGAGAATACTATGCAACAGGCATACGCGCTACTAGAATTAAGACAGCGCCTGTACATGCTTCTGCTTCATGGTACCTGGAGAATGTTCTGCCTGTAATGCAGAGGTACTACTGAAATATTAACCTCTTTTTTGAGATTTATACTGAATTACTGACCAAGTATTCATGTCGTTTCACTTGAAATATGTCCTACTTCTGAAAAGTTTTGTTTTTCACTAGGCATGATGGTCATATTTGATGCAAGTGACTTGACATTCATTCATTTCTTTATGCGTGTTGCTTCCATGTTAAATGAGTTGCAACTATCAATTTAACATTTAAGTATTTTTTGATCATTTTCAATAGATATCATGTTCCCTCAATTGAAGTGTCATTCACAGTTCATTTTTTTTCTAGTCATAGCACTAAAATAGACGCATTTGTAACTTTTTTTTATGGTCAGATATACACAATATTGGAGTTATCAGAAACTATCAAATCCTCTCAGAGATGTGAGATCAAGTAATCAAAATGGACTCGACATTTACTTGGTCTCTGAGAGATCGACATTAACAACCTCATCCCTCCCCCTTGGGCAACGGGAAGGTTAAAAGGAAAAAAGAAAGAAAATAACGGAAATGTCAGTCACTTGCATCAACAAAGCAATATTAGATCAACACATAAAGACAGCCATTGCCTGTGTTTATAGATTTCCAGTTTCGCCAGCTAACACATTACACAGTGGTCATTACCAGATGCATTTTTGTAGGCTTGATTTAACTGGGACACTCTGCTTTCAACAATTGAAATATAGTACGAAGTTCGCTTCGTATGATAAATCCTTAACTCACAACAAGACTACTTTGCTTTCTTTCTTCCAGCTATGGAATCGCAGCTATAGCTCCATTCTCTCACCGTTTGGCTTTTGATAGCCAACCTTCAGACATCCAGCATCTGCGCTGTAAGGTCAACTTTCACGCGCTAGTTTTTGTTCCCCATGTCAGAACGTTAGGCGATGCACTCGTCAGTCATCTGCGTAGCCCTCCTAGTTTGGATAACGCATCAAGTGCTACACACTTCCACAAAGGGGAAAATGACAGAGCAGGAGCTGGAAAGTATGTTGTATTGCATCTTCGCTTTGATAAAGTATGATTATCTTCTACCTTGCTGACTCAATTCCATTCTTACAATCATAGTCTATGTTGAAGTGGAGTGTGTTATGGGATCTTTGGTACAACTATGAGGGCATAGTACTGTATCAGTGAGTTTTATGTAAATTTTCCATGTCTATGTTAGTGAAAAGACACCATTATGTGAAGGTTCAGTAAACTAAAGGCGATCTACAATAATTATCTGTCAGCCAACTTTGGGTAACTGGGCCTGTAAATGTCTCCAAGTTAAGAAAGTTAAAGCCCGTCTTGTTTCACTAGAATTCACTTGGATACCTTCGATTTTGATCCATCCCCATCCATTAATGGCGACAAATAAAATAGCTTTTGTGCAAGACGAGGATTTGTCGTTTAATGCATTTGGGTATTAATTGTCTGGAAAACTTCTTTTAAACAGGATATGGCTGCTCACTCAGCTTGTGATTTTGGTGGGGGCAAAGCTGAGAAACTTGCTCTTGCAAAATATCGGCAAGTACTTTGGCAAGGGAGAGTGCTAAACTCCCAATTCACAGATGAAGAGTTAAGAGGCCAAGGGCGTTGTCCGTTAACTCCGGAAGAGATAGGACTCCTTTTGTCAGCCTTGGGATTCAACAACAGCACACGCCTATATCTTGCTTCCCACAAGGTGTCATAACTATGAAATTACTTATTCCTTACAAAGAATGATGTGTTCCATTGTCAACAACAGCTTAAGCACTCTCTGGACTTTATTCTCATCAGGTTTACGGTGGAGAAGCAAGGATATCATCTCTTCGCCAGTTGTTTCCATTTATGGAGGACAAGAAAAGCCTTGCTTCTTCTCATGAGCTATCTGAAGTAGAAGGAAAAGCTTCTTTACTAGCAGCTGTGGATTATTATGTGAGCATGCAGAGTGATATATTCATCTCTGCCTCTCCCGGCAACATGCACAATGCACTGGTAACTAAATTGTATATCAGAATGTCCGGTTAATTATTCTAGTCTAGTCTGTTTTAGTCTTGATTATGCTTTGAAAACTAACCATGGGGCGGGATTTGTTAACTCTCAGTTGGGGCATCGAGCATACAAGAATCTTAAGACTATTAGACCAAACATGACATTGTTAGGCAAGCTCTTCCTCAACAAGACTATGCAGTGGTCTGAATTTCAGCAGGCAGTACAGCAGGGTCACAAGAATAGACAAGGACAAATGCGGATACGCAAGGAAAAGCAGTCTATATATACTTACCCTGCTCCTGATTGCATGTGTAAAGCTTAATTTGACACCACGTTGGAGGTTGTAATTTGATCAGACGTGATATTTACATGTATATTTTTGTATTCTAGGATCTTTAGTTGACCATGTTCAGAATACAG